CTGATCACGAATATCGCTGTCTGAAAGTTCAAAAATGTAGTGCTGAACAATTAGACCATTTTTTCGTATATGCGTATTTTGAGGTCCAAACCGGATTTTTGAACCTCCTTTCGCATGTAATAGTCTCTAGGAGGTCTAGAAAAGCATTTTTAGGTGCAAAATTCCAAGCTCTATCGGCATCTGGATGAATGAAGGCCATCCGAAATGCTTAACTGCTTATAACGGCGAAATACGACCAAAATCTCGATAGGATGAGCATGGGCATCCCTCTTTCTAGAGTTTCCAGTGCACTGAACGCTTTTGAACTTCAGTGAGACTATGTCAATTCGATGCAGTTTTTCATGCTCTATCCAAATATGAACTCGAAAAGATTTAAAAAGGCCGGCATCAGGTCGAAAATCATGATATACCAGTAAAATTCCTTATTTTCCCTCGTATATCGAGATTTCGACCACTAAAACTTAAATTTCATACAAAATAAATACGATATTCGGAATCAGCATCAAAATCTGCATCAGGTAACATGTATTTTGTCAAAAAATATTTTTCATGGAAAATTCGACCTGTGGGGGACCTCAGGGCAAAATTGAGTATACAGAGCTGAGGTCCCCTACAGGTCGAATTTTTGACGAAAAATGTTTTTTGACAAAATATATGTTGCCCGATGCAGATTGTGATGCTGATTCCGAATATCATGTTTATTTTGCATGAAACCTAAGTTTTAGTGGTGAAAATCTCGATATAAGAGAGAAAATAAGGAATTTTGCTAGTATAGATTTTCGACCTGATGCCGGCCTTTTTTAATCTTTTCGAGCTCATATTTGGATAGAGCATGAAAAACTGCATTGAATTGACATAGTCTCATTTAAGTTCAAAAGCGTTCAGTGCACTATAAATACCTGAAAAGAGCCTGTACGCTTAGTATACTGAAATTCTGCCCGTATATTGCGTTTTTTGACCTGATGCCGGCCTTTTTGAATCTTTTCGAGTTCATATTTGGATAGAGCATGAAAAATCGCATCGAATCATTACAATCTCACTTAGGTTAAAAAGCGTTCAGTGTACTGGAAACTCTAGAAAGGGGGATACCCATGTTTATCCTATCGAGATTTTGATCGTATTTCGCCGTTATAAGCAGCTAAGCATTTTGGACGGTCTTTAATCATCCAGATTCGGACAGAGCTTGAGATTTTGCATCTAAAAATGCTTTTCTAGACCTCTTAGTGACTATTACGTGCAAAAGGAGGGTCAAAAATTCGGCCTGAACCTCAAAATCCCAATATAGGAAAAAGGGTCTAATTTTTCAGCACTACATTTTTGAACCTTGAGATAGCGATATTCGTGATCAGCGTCGTTGACTTGTTAGTTCTAGTCACTTTTAAGAAAAAAATTTCGAAAAAAATTTTTGTCGCATCCCCCTAGGGGGGTACGGAGGTCAAAAATCCGGAAGTCATTTCAAGGGAAATGATTGTGCTAGATTTGTAGCCCATATCAATCTTATAACACTCATATAGTTATTTCTTGAAAATATTTTGGGCCGAAAAGTGACCTTAACGCCACTGGTCCTTTCTTTTTCAAAATTTTCCATACTTCTTAATGATCTATTAAAATATTATTATGATTAGCGTTAAACCATTACAATTCCATCCGGTTTTTCGTTGAGTTTTGACGTTGATAAAAAAAAAAACTTTTCTTTACTTTACAATCTACGTCAACTACTTTAGTCAGAACAACACATATTTTCATCATCACTATGCTTTATTTTTATGTTGTTTATTGACAAAAGTACGGTGTAAGTTGGATATTTTATCGCTTTCTTTTTCTCTGCTTTTATTCTACTAGTTATTGTCATAACAGTCCACATGGCATCATCAACAATATCATCCAAAGTCTTATGTGTTGTGTGCAATAAAGGAAAAGGAAGTTTCAAATGTGAAGGATGTTTACGCATGTTTTGTCCAAAACATTCAAATGATCATCGAAATGATTTGAGTAAACAATTAGAAGAAATTGTTGTAGCACGTGATCTTATACAGCAAACTCTTATTCAACAAATGGAAGATCCTCAACAACATCCTCTGGTAAAAAAAATTAACCAATGGGAACAAGAATCTATTGTCAAAATTCGCCAAGCAGCAGAAGAAGCTAGAAATAGATTAATCAAGACTACTACTGAGTATACAAATGATCTTAAAAAAAAGCTGAACAATTTATCTGATGAATTACGACAGAGTCAAGAAGATAATGACTTTATTGAGACTGATTTACAACAATGGATACAAAAATTAGAAGAACTAAAAAAAGAACTTCATAATTCAACAACTGTTACTATTCAAGAAGATTCTACTCCACTTGTTTCCAAGATTCTTATTGGCAATCAAAATACATTTGATGTATTCGAACGTGTTTGTGGTACTGCTGAAATAAAAGAAAATGGTTGTCTTGTTGTGAAAAATAATTCATCTAAACACACAGAAATACGTGGACAAAACGAATATAATACTGGAAGACACAAAGTTTCTTTCCGAATCGAACAATTAGCTTCAGGCGGATGGATCTTTTTTGGAATCATTTCGAAAGCAGAACCTATGCAAACATCTTCGTATAGTTCGCCGTCGACTCATGGCTGGGCGACTCATTATCAAATGTACGTCGGTGGTCAACATAGGCAAGAACAAAGCAGTAATATTATTCAAAACGATACTGTTATATTGTCAATTGACTGTGATCAACGAAGAATAGAGCTGAAAAATGAACGAACAAATCACATTATGCAAATGTCTATTGACATCAACAAATGTCCATTTCCATGGCAACTTCATCTTAATCTTGGTACAGCTAATACTCATGTGCGCATTCTAAACTCATTCAATTAAGACTTGATTTTTACTCTTGTCGCCTCAATTTTTGCTAATGAACAATTTTCGTTTACTTTCCCACATGTGTTTCGAGACGAAATGAGTTGTCAACAACAATCTTTGAATTATTTTTTTAATGTAAAAGACTATACTCAAATGTCAAAACAAAATGTTTTTAAAGAGAATTAACTATTTAGTATCAATTCGAAACCCAATTGATTAGATATCATTTCTTATGGTCTTACATGATTTCTCCGTTGGATAAGACATGATAAAATTTAAATTACTTGTCTATATCAAAAAGGAAAAAGTAATGATATGATTACTTTGATTATTGATTCTAATAAAGAACAATTCAAATGGAAATTTGTCCAATGTTTAGTAACATTAAAAAATGTCTATTTCTATGAGAAGCTTTATATTAGTCTGTTTAATCGATCTTCTTCGATGTGCATTTTACAATTATCTGATTAGAAATCTGTTTTTATCAATTAGTTTCCATTTATAGTGAACGAAATTTCGGAATACAATATATAAATTGTAAATAAATATTTATGGAAAATGAATTCTTCGGTTTAATTACCATTGACACTTATCAATGAGTAAAATGAGGGATATTTTCTATATTTTAGATAATTAAACTCATACTTCAAAAGGATTGTTTTTCTAGACATTTTCGATCACAATAATATAATGATTCTACACATAAGGCACGCTGATAGTTTTATTTAACAAAAAACAATGTAATTCTGATATTTAATATATCATTTCAGAAATATAGAAACGTTTCTTCTTCAATCAATTGATTATAATTACGATAAAATTCGTTTTTGAATTGACTCGTATTATTTGAAAACCAACTAAAATATGTTCTGATTTCTATATTACCTATTATCATTTATATTTTCTTACAAACGTTTTTTTACTGATTATTGGAGTTTCGCATCTGTCATTACTAAAAGTATCTTTAGTCATTAGAATTTTGTTCTTCATTTGTTAACATATGGTTTGTCTTCGTAAACAAACATTTAAATAATTTCATAAGTATGATCTTTATTTTTAAAATTCATTTTTATTACTCTTATTGATACCAACGAGTTTCTTTTTCTAGAAACGAATCAATCTAGGGCTATGAAGGACAATAATAAGACTAATCAAGATAGAATAACTCAAAATTCATTTGGAACAAAAATCTCAAATTCAGCACTAATTATTTCTTCGAATTTGTTCGTTGCTATATTCTTAGATGAAATAAAAAATTTCTATCGATATTAGGCATATTATTGTAAGTGATATACGAAGTACTTTTATTTTAATTCAAATTTCATAGTATAAACAAGTTTCTAACGATAATATTCGTTTTTTATATTAATTTTCATAGCAAATTGCATTGTTTCGAAGCTTATGTAATATTATCTAGATTCTTTCGCTGTATAATAGAATCTATAATATTGTTTTTCTTTACTTAACGATTTACATTGACTACTTTACTCAAAACAAAATCATTTTTATCATCAACTTCCTTTCCTATTATACTGTTTATTGACACAAGACAGGTGTATGTTGGAAATTTTAACATTTACTTCATTCTTGTTTTATTTAACTAGGTATCGTCATACTGCTCTACATGCTGGCATCATCAGGCAAAATTTTATGTATTATATGTAATAAAAGCAAAGGAATATTCAAATGTGAAGGATGCTCATGAATTTTCTGTCCGAAACATTCAATTGATCATCGAAATGAACTTGGTAAACAATTCAAAGAAATCGAAGTGAAACATGACTCTATTCAACAAATACTTATTCAACGGACAGAAGATCCTAAGCAACATTCTCTACTAAAGAAAATTGATCAATGGGGAAAAGAATCTATTGTCAAAGGTTGTTTCTTTCCGAAGCGAACAATTAGTTTCAAGTGGATGAATCTCTTTAGAAATCATCTCAAAAACAGAATCTATCAATTTAGATTCGTATTATTCGCGATCGAGTTATGGCTGGTCAAATCATAATCAAATCTATGTTGGTGGAAATGATGAAGAATGTAAAGAAAATATCGAAATCATCGAAAACGATACTATTACATTGTTGATTGACTGTGACCAAAGAAACATTCGACTCCAAAATAATCGATTGAATCGCACTATAGAGCAATTGGTTGATATCAATAAATGTTCATTTCCATGGCAAATTCATCTTAATCTTTACGCAGCTGATACTCATGTACGGGTTCTCAGTTTATCCAATTAAAATTCGATTTTCTTCTCTTTTTTCTATAGTTTTGTAAGTTTATCACTTTTGTTTGTTTTCATATCGAAGTTTAAAGATGAAATGAGTGCTAAACTATAATTATTGTGTTTGACTCTAATAGTGTTTTTGTTTTAATGAAAAAGTTTACTAAAATGTAAAAAAAAAATGTTTTTAAAGAAAATAAACCGTTCTCTTGGTTTTCATAGAAACCTAAAGAGCTTTTATTTTCTATAAGTTTTCTAATTGTTCTATTAACTTTGATTTATGTCTTTGGATATTAGAACATCTTGTTAATGGTTATTTTTAGAATCGGCTTTGTTTTATAATTTTTTAAAAACATAATCTTTGAATAATTATCCTCCATTAAGATGTTATAAAACAAATAATTTTCATTGTAAATGTTCGATAAATAGATACATAGAGCATATTAAAAGCTTTTTTCTCTGCTCTTCTTACAGCATTGATATCAGTGTAACTATTCGGATGCATAATTTCAGACTTAAAGGTCTTATAGCTCATTGTATTTTTACATTTCTCATATATATATTTTAAATTCTCATGGAAACACTTTCGAAGTATGTTTTTCAGATAATTTTCATATCACTTTAGGCCAGTCTTGCTCGATGATCCCTATAGGGATCATTTAATAAATATCTAGTTTTCTCTGATCATGAGATATTTAGAAACAGATTTTATATCACCCTGAAATGTGATGTAGTGACTCATTGGATTTTTCCTACTGGTCACTATTTATGTATGTTGGAATTTTCTAAGTTTCATGTGTCCTTTCTTAATATGTGTTTCTCTCAACTTCCGTTGGAAATTTCCATCCCATTGTATATGTATATATATATATAATTATATGATCGTTCTTGTTATAGTTGTTGTTCTTCTTCAGTTTCTTTCTCTTCATCGTGACTGAATTACTGTTTCTGTTATATTTTCTTCATTTCTCAGGTATAATTAAACTAGAGAACCTAACCTTAAATTCCGATCTTCTAACATACCTTCCAATACGTGACATGAAGACTATCTATTATGAATTGCAAAATAATCATCTGAATTGAATCCCTACTAGAAAAAACAATTTTTGAAGTGTATGTACGTATATTTTATCCCAAAAAGATTTGAACATTTTAAAAAAACCAAAGTCTGTGCAGTCGACTCTTGGAAAGCAAGAATAGTTTTTCATCTGAACTAATGGGTTTGTGAAATGATAGAGCTTTTTATGCTCTATCATACTACATACTCAAAATTTTGAAGAAGAACATATCGACAGATTCTAATGATCAGCTGTAGAATTTTCGGTTTTTCAACATGTACACATCTTTTTGGAATACTTTCTCTGGTTGAATTTGCCGAATAGATAAGTATTATGTTCAGCCACATTCATATGCATAGTATACGATGTGAATGTCATATTCATGCACTAACATGAATGATGTTATCGTATCTGATTGGTTTTTTAATTTCAGAACGTTTTTTACATGAAAAAGAATAACTAATGCCTTACATATTTCATAAATTGACGCTTGATTATTTCGAGTCAAACGTATATTAAGAGCAAGAGGATTAATGTTGTTGAGCGAATGGTTCGTCCGAACCCTTAGGATCAACCAGGGCCAAGAAAAGCTTAATAACATCATTCAAAGAGAACAAGACTCAATCACTAAAATTCATCAAAAAACTACAAAAAAATTAAAAATCTAAATCTTAACTGGATCGATCATTTTGAGAAAATGTCAAAATATATCACGAATCAATTCGTTAGCCGGTAGAATATATATATTCATACAAATATCTTTTACTGATTATTGCAGCTTCTTATGTGTTATTAATAGAAGTATCTTTTGTTATTAGAATGTCGTTGTTTACTTGTTAACTTTTGAATAATTTCATGAGTGGAATCTTTACTTCTAAAACTCATTTGATTTATGCTTGTTGATGCTAAAGAGTTATTTTCTAGAAACGAATTAATTTAGTGCTATGAAGGATAATAATAAGACTAATTAAGGAAGAACAACTTCAAACTAATTTGAAAACAAAATTCAAATAAAAAGATCATTCTACCTTCGTATGATTAGCTAAGAATTTTGTTCATATTCATTCGTTTCTTTATTTTCTTATGAAATGAAAAATTTCTGTCAATATTACTCATATTATCATGAGTGATGTGCTAAGAACTTTTACGTTAATTCGTACGTCAAAATAAAAACAGATTTTTTTGACGATAATATTCATGTTTTATATTTGTTTTCATACAAAACTTAATTTTTTTTCCATGCTAATGTAATATTATTCTACTTTTTTTTCGTTATACTATGAAACTCAATAGAAATATCTTTTTTATTGTAACAGTTGCATCAACTGACTTTACTCACAACAATACAACTTATATCATCAACGTATTTTATTATTGTGTTCCTTATTGACACAAGACAGGTGTATGTTGGAAATTTTATTGTTTATCTTTTCTGTGCTTTTCATCCACTATTAATTGTCATAACACTCTACATGGCATCATCAACAGTATCATCGGAAGTCTTGTGCGTAGTGTGCAATAGAAGAAAAGGAAGTTTCAAATGTGAAGGATGTTTACGCATGTTTTGTCCAAAACATTCAAATGATCATCGAAATGATTTGAGTAAACAATTAGAAGAAATCGTTGTAGCACATGATCTTATGCAACAAACTCTTATTCAACAAATTGAAGATCCTCAACAACATCCTCTGGTAAAAAAAGTTAACCAATGGGAACAAGAATCTATTGTCAAAATTCGACAAGTGGCAGAAGAGGCTAGGAATAAATTAGTCAAAACTACTACTGAGCATACAAATAAGATCAAACAAAAACTGAACAATTTATCTGATGAATTACGACAAGCTCACGACGATAACGACTTTATCGAGATTGATTTACAAAAATGGACAAAAAAACTAGAAGAACTAAAAAAAGAACTTTATAATCTAACAACTGTTACTATTGAAGAAGATTCTACTCCACTTGTTTTCAAGATTCTTATCGATTGTCATAATTCATCTGATGTATTCCAGCGTGTTTGTGGTATTGCTCAAATAAAAGAGAATGGCTGTCTTATTGTGAAAGATGGGGTAGATGACCACAGAGAAATACGTGGAAAAAAAGAATATATATCTGGACAGCACATTCTTCGTTTTCAAATTGAACGTCTATTTGGAAATCTATGGATATTCTTTGGCATCATCTCGAAATTCGAATCTATGCAATTATATTCACATAATTCGCCGTCGAGTTATGGATGGACCACTCATAATCAAATCTACGCCGGTGGTCAATGTAGGTGTGAACAAACAAGTGATGCTATCGAAAATGATATTGTTACGTTGTCAATTGACTGTGATCAAAGAAGAATTATGCTGAAAAATGAACGAACAAATCATGTCATGCAGCTGTCAATTGACACCACTTTATGTCCCTTTCCATGGCAATTTCATCTTAATCTTTATGATTCACTTACTCGTGTACGCATTCTCTCTGTTCATTCGATTAAAAACTAGATTATCGATCATTTCAAGAATCTTACGAACTGTATATTTTTCATTTATTGTTTTATATTCATTCATCTATTGAGTTTTTCAAATAAAAAGAACAGGTAAAGAAAACGCTGCAAACTATAGTTGAACTGTTTTTCTATAATGATCATTTTCTATAAAAACAAATATTATTCTAATTTAGAAGAATGTTTTTAATGAAGTATAATTTAATTATGTTCTTGCTGTGTATAAAAAAACTCATTGAAATTTTTATCAATCAACAAACATGTTTTTTGTTTTTGCTTTACTATTTAATCCCTTGCTTTCAAAAAATTCATAAAAATAATATCTTGAAATATGATAATGTACACTAAAATCGAATATCTAATCCTTGTTCATTTGACTATCTTACCTTCATAGCATCAGTTCCAGCATATTGTCTACTAATAGCATCACCATTATCTGCCCACATTGTTTGAAAAATTCTTTTTGCATGACCACTAAGACCACCTTCATCAAAATCTAATAAACCAAGTTTTTTTAACTAAAAAACGAGTCGAATGAATGAAATTTCAATGAAAATAATCTAGTACACAAAAAAAACACATACCATTATTTCTAAAATAGTCTTGGCAATAGCTGCTTGAACAACATTAGTTCGATCAAGACAATCAACACAATTAATACGAAATAAACTTATTTGTTCAGTAAGCATCGTATTTGTCTCTGTATTTATCCTATTCGATTTATTTCAGAAATTACAAAATAAAAATAAGATTAAAAATAAAACTTACCAAGAAAAACGCATTTCACGTAAAAGATTCTTTTCATCAAGCAATTGTAAGAGTGTTAATACATTTCCAAATTGAAGACCTTTGCTAGATATAGCAATAATAATAATATGATACAGATTAATTAAATAATAATATTACCAATATTCATGAAAATCAAATGTTACATATGATAAATATGGACTATTATATTTCGTAATATGTTCGTAAAAAGTATCACTAAGAATATTTTCTTTTCCCCATTCATCAATAAGACTAATTAATATAAGTTGTTTTCCTTTTGTTCTTGATAATTCATCTTCAATATGTTTTACAAAAGCATCATGAGATTCATTAAAATCTAAAGAAATTTTTATTTGAGATAAACTTAATTTCTATATGAATTATTCAAAATACTGTGAAAAGAATTTGATTTGTGTTTTGAATTTAAGAAAAAAAAAAAAAAAGAAAGTAATTTATCTTGACTTTTATTCATCTTTTTAGTTCAATAATCTCTCAAGAGAATAAATAATAAGAATCTATTATTCAATCTTAGTTATATGATTAATTTTGATAGTTATTATATACAATCTTTTTCGATTAGCAACGGCGTCTCTTAATATCTTATTTCAATAATCATATTCTTCTAGAAGTTGACCTAACAAGAATAAATCTTGATCAAAAATGATAATCGACTATTTTTTGTCATTGGAACTATCTTTTTCTTTTCGCTCATCAGTATTATCTGCATGTCTATTTTATTTTATTTGCGACACTTTTGCCCCCCTAGAAAGACATTCTCTCTCTCTCTTTGTCTATTGTTGTTACTTGTAACTGGGTCCATTTTCTTGTAGAGTAGAAATGTCAGGGTCGATTCGATTGTTTTCAGTTAAACAAACAAGTACATATCAGAAAACGCAAAAATAAATACTAGTAAAAAAAGCAACTGACTGAGTAGATGAGAAAAGGAAAGTGTCAATAATGTATTGTTGAATATCAGCGATGAAATGCGTTATTATAATACATTCTAGTGTTAGTGTAAATGATAGTAACTCAATATAATACATAAAAAAACTTCGATATATTAGGAAAATATTCTAATTAATAAAGAAAGAAAATAGTAAGAAATTTGTTTTATTTAAATATTGTGCGATTGAATAAATGATATAATAATCATTTATTTGTATAGACTATCCATTAAAATAAACAATGGAAAATTGAAAATATTAGTAATTCAAAAAATTTTATAGAACATTAAAAAAAAAACAAGTTTTCTTTTCATGTGAAGATTGAAGTAACCCTTTCTTCTGCTTCTTCTTCTTTGTTTAACTTAAGAACACTTGTAAGATAGAAATATTTTGTTGGTTCTTCTATCTATCTATCTATTTTTCTTTATTCAATCAACAAAAATAACGGCAGAAAGAGCAATAATAGTTATTCATATAGATTCTTCTTTCTTTTTTTTTTCTTCTATTAACGATTTATTGATGTTTATAACTAATTATAGAAAATCTGTTTCTGTTTTCGATTCATAATCAATGTTATCTTCATTATTAATTGGAATAATACTTTTTACAATAACATTTTGGACTATATTTGGAAATATCTTAGTTATAGTTGCATTTATTATTGATAAACAAATTCGACAAGGTGGAATGTCAAATTATTTAATTCTTAATTTAGCTACTAGTGATCTTTTATTGGGTATTGTTGTTTTACCATTTTCAGCATCATATTCAACATTTCGAATATGGTATTTTGGAAAATTTCTTTGTGAAATATGGTTAGTTATTGATGTTTTATGTTCAACAGCATCTATTTGGGTAAATTTCATTCAAAAAGATTTTCATTTTTCTTATTGCATTTTAAAATATATTTAGAGTCTTTTAATGATTGCATTTGATCGATATATAGCAACAAATTATCCAATGCATTATCATCGTCATCGTCATTCAATTTCATTGGCATTAACTAATATTTGTATTGCATGGTTTGTCTCATTAGCTATATGTCTTTTACCAACATTATTTTTTGAAAAAAAATCTTCAATATATTCTTCAATGAATAATAAAACAATATCAACATCAATAAAATATAATGAATCAACTCTACAATGTGAATTATATAAAGATTCAAATTTTGTTATAACAAGTTCTTTACTTTCATTTTTTATTCCATTAATTATAATGATATTTTTATATGCAAAAGTTTTATATGCAATAAGACAACAATCAATTTTTCGTTTTATGACAAATAGTAAATTAAAATTAAGTATTGAAAAATGTAATGATCAACATTGTATTGAAAATTCATTATTATATCAAACATCAGAAAATAATTTAACTCGTGATGAATTATCATCATCGGATCAACAACAAATAGAACGTCGTGAGATTACATCTGAAGTTCGTATAACACGTTCATTAGCTATTATTATTGGTTGTTTTGTATGTTGTTGGTTACCATTCTTTATTTTATATATTATTCGAGCTGTTTGTCATTGTTTAAGTTTTCATGCAATCGAATTTTTCTTTTGGTTAGGTTATTCAAATTCATCAATTAATCCTGTACTTTATGCTATATTAAACAAAAACTTTCGTTCAGCATTTAAAAACATTTTTATTTCATTTAAAAAGTTCTTTTTTTTTGTATGAAAGAGAAAAATCGAAATTTTTCTTAGTTCATTAAAGTTTAAAGAAGAAATCTTTTTTGTCTCCTGAGACGTTCATTCTCTGTTTGACACCACAGAATAGATAAATCTGTTTGATATTCAAATGAACTTTGGTTCTATCGGCGAGCTTTTCCTTTTTTTGTTGCTTCTGTCACGACATGTGGAGAAAATATTGGCGTACTGATTATAGACTAAAAAATAACTTGTGATTAATTAACTTTATGTTGATTCTTTTTGTCTATGCCTATCAAATATTGCTAACAAAAATAAACACGCAATAGATCTATTTCTTCTACTCAAACTAAAACGTCAAAAATAAATTTGCTTCGATATTTCATTTTGAACAAGTATGTTGATCAGGCTTTTGTCTAATAAGATAGACTAATTTAATAATATAAAATATATTAAGTTCGAATGTCTATTCGTTTCAATGATCGTTATCTTAAACGAATTAAAGAGAAAATGCAATAAGAACTTGATTATCCTTTTCCGAAATACAGACAACTAACATCTACACATCAAGACTTTGATCTATTAAAAAAAATAAAAACTAAAGTTAATTATTCAATAAATTCTATTGAAATAAACTATATGGACTGTAAATTAGAATTGGACTTCTTTCAACATAATAACTGATGATGCATATCAAACAAATTATTTTTAGACACTTATTGTTTTTCAATTCTTTATGTCAATATACAATATATATTATTGACAGACACAGAACTATGTCATCAACACAAGAAAACAAAAGAATACATTGCTAAAAGATGATTAATAATAAAGACTTTGCTATGAATTCTAATATGAAAGGAAAAAAAAATGACATTTATGACTCGATTAATGGATATTTATTATCACTTTATGGATTATTTTCTTTAACATATGTCATTCGCCGTTAGTAAACATTGACTAACGTTAATTTTAAAATTTGATTTCATCAATCTCATGAAAATATTTTCAATGCAAAAACTTTTTATTATGTCAATACGTTTGTTGATACTTGACAAGAGAAGAAGGTCAAAAAAAAATGTTATTCCGATAAGTGTCTAAACATTGTTAGCCTTTCATAACATAACTGGTTATCATATATTATCAAAATGTATTTAGTACAACAAAGAGTTAGAAAAGATAACAAACTCAAAACAAAATCAACGGGCTAGGATGATAAATATTTTTGATAAAAAATTGTTTTCTTATATATCTTGTTTATAATATATAATCGAAAATTTTTTAGAAATTTTTGATAAAATAATTATTTTTAACAAGGATGTTTAATATATGTTTACAATACAAATTATCATTTAATGAATATTCTATGATATGAACTTACTTCGATCAAGTTTTGGTGGTGGTCGATATTTAATTCCAGGTTGTGACCAATAAATTGGTACGGATCCTCGACTCATTATAAATGACATAATATTATTTCCAGCCCATAGAATCTTAAGACAAAAAAAAATTTCTTGATTTATTTTAATTAATTTTTCTATGATTTACTTGTTCAGTTTCAACATAATTAGCAACATTTCCATCATCATCAATACCTCGACAATGCATTCTAACACCAGCTCGATGACAATTTCTTCGTGATATTAGAATTAATTGTACATTGGTTTGTTGATCGACTTCAAAATGACATTCATTTAAATAACCCATTATTATTGGTTGAATCCATCGAGTATCCAAATGTTCTTTCTATTTACAAAAATTAAAAATTCTATTGAACAAAAAAAAAATATATATACTTCTGCTTGACCAATAAGTTTACTAAGCATTTGTCGATTCCAAAAGAATCTTTCATCAGCACGTTTCCATAATGGAATATTATTATCATGATTATATGAACGTTGCATTGAATTTGTTAAATCATATGTAGAACTGTAATAGAAACATTGAGTTTCTTGATACCATAAACGAAGTTCCTGAATATAAATAAATAAAATTATTATTTGACTTAATGACTAAGGATTGACTCACTTCAATACACTTTAATTCATATTTATTATTACTTGAAGAACTTGTTTTACTATCTGATTCCTAAAAAAATTCTTTGTTTTTTTTTAAAAAAAAATCTTAATTATCTACTTCATCGAAATTATCAAAAGGTTGAATAAGAATTTCTGTAATACGATATATTTGATGTCCATCAGACATTTCACAAACAAGTTGCTGATTTTTTATAAATATTAACCATTGAAGTCCATCTATTGAAAAAGAAAATCAGACAAATCATCAAATAATAATCTCGTTTAGAAAATCGAAAATTTGAACTTGTGTTTTATTACCTTTAATAATTTGTACTTGTCCAATATAACCATAAATATCGTTTACAAATGTGGCATCCCATGCCGATGATGATAAGAATTGATCAATGTTTGGTTCTATTATGTTTTTTATTTTATGAAAATTAAATCAATTCAAAGAAAAACTCGAACATACCTGTTTTAGTATAGATAGATAAACTTCTTCTATTAAACCATAGACTACTTTCTTCAGTAGTTACAACCCATGAGTCTCTTGCTTTGTACAACTTCATTCTCAATATCTATATCAAAATTAAAACAGAAGCTATGTTGAAAAACTGATCGATATGAATAAATAAATAAAATGAAACTATATGAAATTTCATATATGATTTAATATGATCCGTGTTAAAAGATATATATTTATGTATGTATTTAAGAAGAAATTAAAACAAGATTAAATAACTAAAATAAATGTATATTAATTATCATAGTTATCATCGTCAGTCCTTGTTGCTTCGAGTTTTTGCCTTAAAACTTCTTTTGATAATTCTTGTGTACGTGCCCAATCATCTTCTTCTAATTGGTCAGCTTCTTCACGAGCCTAAATAAATAAAAAAAAAAAAATTTAAATTACCATTCATTTTAAAGATTAAATTAACTTGTTGAAATAAAAGTTCTTGTTTTTGTCTCAATTCTTCATCAGTATAAATTGATGTTGGTTTTCCATGAAGTTTTCTACGTTTTTGTGCTATTTCTTCTTGTGCTGTTTCCATTGCATTTAAACATTTTGTTTGATATGAACCAAAACCCATATTATTCAAAGCTAATTAAAAAAAAAAATGGATAATCTATTTAAAATTCTAAATAATATTATTACCCGTAACAATATGATCAGGATGAACAAGTCGCTTTGCCTGTTGTTCACAAACAGTATTTGCTTGTAAAGCTAATGTATGAATAAATTCATTACAACATTGTACAAAAAACTCTTTTGCTTCGCCTGATACACGAATATGTTGAGCACAATCTTTAATCATTTTATATACAGCTGCACGTGGTACACATTTATCATCTTCTTCATTTCCACTATTATTTGGTGTATCTATCATCTAAAATTAGTTTTTATTAAATATTTATTGATATTTTGTTTTTATTCATCCATATGATTAAGAATTCGATATGTATTGTAATATAAAGATATTTTTGTTTTTTACATTTGCTCTCCGCGTGCAAAAAAATAAGATAAAAAAAATAAATAAATATTGGACTTTTGAAAAGAGATAAGTATAGAAAAGAAGAAAAAGAAACATTGTACTTTTATTTAAGCACAACAATATTATTGAATGCAAATGAAAAACATTCGTAAGTTAAACTTAAAGAATTTATATGTGAAAGTTGTTTGTCATTGTAAGGTTTATATGTCAATTGAAAAACTTATGAGATACATATTTGTTTCTTTTTAAGGATTCATCAAAACAAAAACACAACTCTCTCTCTCTGTCTCTCTTACATATGTACTTTAACGTTATTATTTTTTACTAAATGATGTCATTGTTCCCAATATAAAATAAGAATGCGGAATATAACAAATAATAGGACAATCAGTTCTTATTATGCATATTGATCAACTGAAAGATTCATGGTTTTCTATAAACATTGCACATTTTTCTAACGTTTGTTTTATAGAATAAGCTATCATCGCTATTACTTTTAGTTTTATCTCGATTATGGGTTAACTATTGGATTGCCTACTTGCCATCAATATTAATATCGATGAAAAAAATTCTTTATTGACATTAAAAAAAAATGCGGAATCCAAAGTCTTTAAAACAATACAAACATATAGTATTATAGGAATCAAACTGATGTCCATTAATCTTTGATCTAAAAAATTAGACTAACGACGAAATTATGCCAACTGTCATCCACTATTTGAGCTCATATTAGAACAACAAGGATGTCTCACGAAAGAACATTTTCAACTAATTAATTAATTAATTTTGAGTTCAGAGTCTGTGCATAAGGTAAACCTCAGTACTTATATACATTTTAATATAACTTCATCTTATGGTATAATATATGCCAACATATCGAATGACTATGTTCTGATCTGAGATTTTGCCTATCGATAAATATATTTGTGATTAGAATGCCCTTAGCATTTCAATACCAAAGAATATTTTCTTCCCGGAATATTAAAGTCTCAAAAATCACTCCTATTCTACAAAAGATAATAAGATTTTCTGTTTTTCTTTTTAGATTTTAATATCTTGGAAAGAAAATATTCTTTGGTGTTGGAATCTTCAGAGAATTCTACTCATCAAAAGACTTGTCCATAGACAAAAATCTTAGATCGAAATACCGTCAACCGATTTGTTCGTATATATATAATGCCATTAATTATAGTTCGAGAAGTTTTTCTCGTAAGAGAAGTAAACTGAGAAACTTCTTATACTTGGAAACACACATGTAATTAATCTAATATTCAAAAACAAAGATCAATAAATGAGTTTTATTTTAATTAAAAAAAAAAAAAAAACATCTGTTACATAAAAATATTATATTTATTATCAGTGATTGTTCGTTTATTAGTGACTATTGATGACTAGTTAAAATCATTGAGATTCTATGATTGTTATTGTTTATTTCGATGAATTAAACAAACTGACAATTGACTAATTAATATTTTTTGGAGGAAAAATATGCATCCATAAAAGAGTCATTGGTGTACCCAATAAATATATATGCCAATAAAGTGAACGACCTTGTGGCGTTATTAATAATAAACATGTTGTTAAAACGAAAAATATACAAGAAAAAATTGTATCACTTAAACATAACTGTGCTTGAATACCTTCTCGATCTGAATCAATATCTAATACATATTTGTTATTTCGATTTTGATCGTAAAAATGCTTTATTAATCTAAAAAACAAAAACACCACAAAAAATTATTTATTTTTTTAAAATTTTCTTTACTTGTCTTTAATAATAAATCTTTGGTATAACCAATTCGATATTTGTTCATTAGTTTCACTTGGAATTGAATCAATTGGAATTCGTTTTACATGAATATGTAATTCTTTCGTTTGACCTTGTAAAAATTCTGAAATTGTTTTTTTTTGTTTAAAAAAAAAAGAGACATTCAAACAATTTTAAATTTACCAGCCATTGATGCTGCACCTGTTCGAATTTGTCGATTTTTATCATAAGTTTGAGAATACATGATAGTTACATCATAAACAGCATCGAATTTATCTTTGAGTGCATTTATAGCAGCTACTGTTGCACCTGTTCGAGGATAAAGAACATGATCAAATGGAGGAACACCTAGAAATTTAAAAAAAAGAAAACAATCAAACATTGAATTGTTTTTTTTTTCGCTTAATTGGATTGCCAAAGTTTACAGTATAAATATGTGATATTGATAATAGTAACAGCCAGAAATGGGCAGTGTCTTCTAACAGAAAATATGATAGTCACATTTTTATCATACAAATCGTTCAGTATTTTATCCAGATTTCTTCTTTCAAAGGAGCAATACAAAACTTCAGGAGGGCCAATCTGATCTTCGCATGGGCACTGCTTTTTTAACTCTCAAGCTAAATAAAACACGGCAGTTGTTAAATTCTACTTCTAGAACCTTAAAAAAAATGAATGTATATTAGGGTGTCGGTGTGGATACCTAAACCCACCCTCAAAAATGAAACACTTTTTTCTAAGGATTATCATAATGGTATATAAATAAGAGGAAAGAATTGGTGAACAGATGCCTCCAGCTACCGTTAGATCCTGCTACGCCTTGATATTTACGGAGGGCACGAGTAACTATGCCATTCGTCAATAAAGTTTTCTACAGATGACTATCTCGGCTGTTATTTTGGGACTAGTGTCATCCTTGCCTTGGCTTTTTTTTTCTATACAGTAGACATCTAATATTTTGTCTAACCTTTTTGTTTTGCAAATTGACGTGATCGTTCAATAATATCTTGATTTTTAATTGGATTAAATCGAGTACCTTCTGGAAAAATAACAAGCCAAACAGGTAAACCATTCGATTTAATTTGACGTATTCCTTTTTCAACACGTTCTAAATCTCCTTTATCATTTCGACGAACATAAATACAACCATGCTAAATAAATAATTATTAATTTATTTTTGTTGTATTTAATTTTTACTTGTTGAAAATAAAAACCATATAATGGAATCCATTTTAATTCATTTTTAAGAATATATCGAATATGACCAAGACTACCTTGACGAATAGCTAACATATTAGCAATTATCCAGTCAACTAAACAATTTTTCACTTGTTATCAAAAAATATTATTCAAAGCAAAATTTCTACCTGAACTTTGATGATTTGATATAAACAAAATATTTTCTTTTTTTTTAATTATTTCTTGATAATCTCCATGAAAATAAATCTTAATTATATCAAAGAAAAAAAAATAAAAAAAAACATCAGATCGAAACATACTTTAGCATGAACCCAATTTTCAAAGAAAAAAAGAATAAATTTTTGATAAAGTGAATATAAATAATCATCACAACGACGATAAATATAATGAGGACAACAGATAAATGTTATTAAACGTAATAAAAACCATATGATAAAAAATGTTGGAGCTGATCCAAATAAACTTATTACTGGAACAACAATACGTATTGAATTGATTGCAAGACAAGATGACATCATTTTTCTTCTATCCAAAATTATTCAATTGAAAAATTCAAAGATTTGTCTACAAACATTCATCAATTCATTTTGTTTTTTTTTTTTTTTAAAGTTTTTCTCAATAAACTGAACTCATTTTCAACAACTAAGACAATCACACTATATTTAAACAACTCATAAAATAAATAATAAAGAAAATTATAACTTAAGGTTTGAAATAAATGTTTTTTTTACATTTGTATGTAATTTTTCTATATTTCGAAATAATATGTCATGTACACTGTTTCAAATAGTAAACATGTCTTACTTTTCTTCCATAAAGTTATATCGAGTATGAAATACATTTCTATCACACATTATATAATAACATTCTTTCGAACTAATGTGTGTCATATGTTTCAATGCATTTTATTAAAATTAACGTTTCATGTCTAACCGATTGTTACCAATAATGATAAAAAAATTTTCTTTTTCTTTTTTTATTTGAGTTTCTATCGTTATGAATTATAAATAAATACGACAAATCTAAAATTTTGAAAGAGGAAGGAAACACTTTCTCGGAGAAGACCAAGTTACTATAGACAAAAACGCATTTTTTCGAAAGAAAAAAAAAATAACCATTCATTCACTCTAAATTGCGACTAGTTAATAATTTTCTTTACTCGACTCTCCTACAACGCAAAAAACAAGTTTTAAACAATTCTATTTGAAATATCTTCTCTTCTAAGCTAATATTTAGGTAGAATTTTCAATTAAAAGATTCAAATTTGATTATAATAAATTAAAAGCAACATTCTCAATTTAAATTGATCCTGCATAATACCATGACTATGTCGACACTCGCATCACTATTAAATTTATTATAAGTTCATGAGAAAATTTTTTTTTTCAATCTCAGAGTCTTTCGCTCAGTAGATAAGTAATTAAATCTGGCATAAACTGTTTGGAAAAAAAATGCCATGGTAAATGTAACAAACTGACAATGAATATGTTAGTTTTCATTTTATCACATCTATGATTTATGATACTAAAAAAAAAGTAGCAACTATAAACAGAGCTATCTTAGAGTTTTCAATTTATATTATTATTTGTCTTTTTTACAATTTGATTTTTATTTGAAAAATAAAATTTTACTATTATTATTATTATTAGACGATGCTTACCTCATTGTATTTGTCAATTATTTTTAATTTAAAAATTTTCCAAATATAATTCTTCGACTTAGTAATTGCAATTTTAATGATAAAATATCTTTCATGCTAAATAAATAATCCATGAATAACTTTGTTAGAAGATAAATTTATCTACAATTTAAATAATGTCAAAAAAAAAAAACAAATTTTTCTTTTTTAATAGATAAAAGAAAATATTTCGGTATTTTTATAAATGAAAATATATTTTAAGATAGTATTAAAATAAATGAAATATTG